ATGAGTTTAGAGACTTCTGCCTCAGAGAGTGGAGAGAAGGATGAAAATGAGTGTATGTTTGCTTGTAAGATGTGTTTGACAGTTTGTGGTGTGGTAAATTGTGCACTGAGGTTTGTAATTTTACATACTGTACAATAAAGAATGACAATTGCAAAAAAATGTGTTTATTGATGATAAAATACTCTTAAAATGTCTTTAGGTAAATTGTAATTCAGTAACAGAATTTTCCTGATTTCTCACTTATTTTTAAGTAGTTCTATAGATGATCCTATATCTTAATCTACTTTGTTCATCTTTTTTCTTTTGTTTTTGTTTATGGTCATATAATAAGGTTTTTGGCAATTCACAGACAAGAATCAAAATGATGAAAATCACTTTGTTTAACCCTTAAGCGATGTTCAAGGTCTTTTGAGACCCCAAATTATGTTTGCTGAAATAAAATAAAAAAGTCCCCTTTACCTAAATGGCATGAGACTTTGTACGGTTGTCAACACTTGGTAGCTCTACAAATAGAGAATTAAACTGGATTGATATCTGGTTGTGTGTTAGTGTGAAATAAACAGTCACTCTCTGGAGACCCCACATTGAAATGAATGGGGAAATTATCAAATCCATACTTTTTCTTCTTAATTTATCAAATAAAATCAATAAATCCACCACAATTCAGACAACAAAATACACGAAAATGAAGTGGCAACCCTTCCACACGTTCACAATCCCCCCCAAAAATCACCCATAGACGTCAATGGAAGACTATACAAATGTTGATTTTTTTGTTACATAATTTGTCAAAAATGTCAGTTACAATGCAGACAACACACAGAATCTGAAGCGGTGACACCCCAGCACAGCCACAATGGAGGAAAACACACACGACCCCCAACACCCCCCAAATACATAAAACCCAATCGTAAGAAATTAAAAATTGACATGACATGAGTGGCTCTCTTACATAATTTGTCAAATAAAAATCAGCTACAATGAAGAACACACACAGAAATGATGGAGGGACACCACAGCACATCCACGATGGAGAATAAATGCAAAGACACACACATACACACACATATACACACTAATACACACACATAACACCACATACAGGTTTGACTGTAATCATGTTTCATAATTGCAAAAAAAAAAAGCTAAACTTTGACAGAGTCATTTTATATCATTACAGTAATGATTTTATAAATCGCTTAACTAAATCTAAATAAAAACAACTTGAAACTTGAAAAGATCTATAGCTATGTGGAAATGGTAAATAAGCCATTGAGTAATGCTCTCGAGTCATCTGTGACTGTAGTTAAAATTTAGTGCTTTTTTTATTTTAAAAGTGTTTATTTTCAAATAAATGGAAGCAATTTGGCATTAAACTATGGCACATTGGCCATGTTATCCCCATTAATTAAAATTAGGAATGTGGGTCTTTTATAAAATGAATTTTACATAAAAAGCTCTTTTTGTATAAAAACCTATTTTAAAAATATGTTTAATCTATTTATATACATTTTAAAAATATCATAAATCCTTCAAAAAACTGCACAAATGTGGAGTAAAAACATTTATAAACTGAGTAAAATTACATTTGTTTAAAAAACATATTTTGTTACAAAATGACCTTTTGGTCTCTGTGTTCTCTGGAGACCCCAAACAGCACGAGTGTCCTCCCCAAACGAACAGCGCATAAGAGTTAAACAACACTTTATACTCAATATCTCATGATGAGTGGGTTTATGTGTTCACATTATATTTGTGAAAGATTCTTCACCTTAATGATTTGTTTGTAAGATGATCTCTCTTCCTCTGTTTGTCTCTTTCTAGTCTTTATGACTGTGGCATTACAGATGTTTCTTCTTTAACTCAGTCTTTGACAAACACAAAAGCACTGCAGTTTCTAAAAGAGCTTGATCTGAGACACAATATAATTAGAGACTCAAAGCAGCAGCTCATTGATGTGCTACGAGACTCAGACTGTAAACTGAGGTG